GCGGTCTAAGCACGTGGAAATATGATCCGCAAGTTGATCGTATGGAAATGGCACAATTAATAGCCACATTAGATCAACCACTAAGTTTTACTGAACAAAGAAATTGACATCATTATATTAAAATTGTACATAAACCTAATCCACAATTTTTTTCTAGAACTACTCTTAGGAAAAATGCATTAAAATTATATAAACAAGAAAATGAAGCATTAATCAACCTTTTACACTTTACTAGTGGTTGCGTTGCTTTAAGAGCGGATAGTTGGTCCGCCGTTACCAACAAGAATTATTTAGCTGTAACCGGACATTATTATAAAGGTTTTGATTTGGATAAGAGAATCTTAGGTTTCAAATGTGTTATAGGATCACATACTGCCAATTTAATATATAACACAATTTTAGCTGTTATTGATGAATATAGTTTAAGAAATAGAATAATGGCCATAACATTAGATAATACAACTGCAAATACTAAAGCAATAGAACTTTTTGAAACTGATTTAAGTTTATTCGGTAATAATGATAAATTTCACCAACGTTGTGCATGTCATATAATTAATTTAAGATTTAAAATCAATGTCAGATCATATTAAAAGAATTAGATATAACATTACTTGGATTCAAGGTAGTAATCAAAGAATACAATATTGGTTTAGATTTCTACAAGCATGTAATCAAAATTCTAGAGCATTAGCCTTAGATATGCCCATAAGATGGAACTCCACTTATATAATGCTTGAACAATGCATTCCCTATAAAGATGCTATAACAAATTATGTTAGCGCAAAATTAGGACCAGGATTTATAGATGAAACTGATTGGTAAGTTGTCGAACTCTTGTATAACTTTTTAGGTATATTTCACGAAGTTACCTTAAAGCTTAGTGGAACTTATTAGCCAACGTCACTATTAGCGTTAGGAGAACTTTTAAAAATGTCTATTTTATTTAGTGAATTTAGGACACACGAGATTTTAGAAATTCCTATCGCCTCTATGGAAAAGAAGTTTAAGAAATATTGGTCTAAATTACCCATGTTGAATGGTTTCGGTGTTATTTTCGACCCTAGATTAAAATTAGAAGGTTTAGAAAGTGGATTAGACAACTTAGGTGAATTTTTAGCTATCGACACTACTGACCAATTTCCTATTATAAAGGAAAAATTATTTTCTCTCTATATCTCTTACGAAAGTAGGTTTAGAAACACACATTGTATTGAACAACCGCAACAACGAGACGACAATTCGCATTCATTCTTGAATGTTTTCGGGTTGTCTAAGAAGAAGAAGAAGACGACGACTCAAGGTCAAGAAGAATCTGAGAGTGGATCTTCATCAAGAGGTGGCGGCAACAGCGGCAGATTCAACGAGTTAATGGCGTACCTGAGTGAGGGCTTAGTTGTAGACAGTAGTGAAATATTTGATTTGGTTTAGTGGTGGAGGGCACGAGCATTAACTTGGCCGATCCTAACACGATTGGCAATGGATATTTTTTCGATCCCAGTATCCACTATTGTAGCCGAACAAGCATTCAGTACAACCGGCCGAATACTTGAAGAATGGAGAAACGCGTTGCAACAGGATATTGTTGAAGCTTTGGTGTGCATCAAGGATTGAGATCGTTCCGACCAATGCTTACACGATACAATCTCACCAGCAAGCCAAGAATGGATCGACGAGTTTAATATATTAACTTTTAATTTTCAAGACGATCATTCTGCTTCAAATTAAATTTTATTATTGTAATTTGTAAATATTTATTTACTTTGTAATTTCTAATTTGTATAGTGTTATTGTAATCTTGTATAGACTTTGTAAGTTCATCAAATTTGTAATTCGTCCCACAACGATTGCACTCTTTTTTCCTTATCAAGTTTTTATCCCAATTGGGTTTTTCTTAGTAAGGTTTTTAACGAGGCAATCATGAATTACAAATTTAAAAATCAATAAAGAAATAATTTTTTTTATATAGTTCGTGTGTTCATTTCAAATTTCAAATTGTAATATATATATATATAATATATATGTACACATTATACAATATAAAAATAAAATATAAAAAATGTTTGAAAATTCGGGCAGCCGGTCGGGCATCGAGCAGCCAACTCCTGCCCGAAGCTCGTCCATGGTGAAATTCAGGTTGGGTCGGGCAGCCTGAATTTTCAGGCAGTTCGAGTTCGGTAATCAGGTAAAAATTTAAACTTTTCGGTGGTCACGGGTGGCCCGTCCAAAATTTCAGCACTGGGTACAGTCCTAATGCTAGCTATGGCTTATCAGTCCGATCTTGGTACATGCTCGATGTGTTAGTCCGATCCTGGCACTCGGCCCAACATGTTAGTCCGATGTCAATGCTGATTCCATCTTATTGTTTCGGCCCCAACATCAAATTCAACTAATATCTTTATTCTCGTTTAAAAAATATGTAATAAAATTATAGTTATCAAACACGTTTTTTATTTTTTATTTGTTTTTAAAAACAAAAAACAAATGATAGTTATCAATTATTAAACATGCTTTTTATTTAAAAAATAAAAATCAGAAACAAGAAAAATATTTTTATTTTTTGTTTTAATTATTTTAAAAACTAAAAATACAAAAACATTACTAAACGGGTCCTTAATTTCTCTCTCTTGTATACTATTGATATGCCACGTTATTTGGGTCTTGTTCACTTCGCGGATTCAAGTTTTTAATTTGAGTTGAGATGTGACATTTTTTGAGAGCTTTTCACTGTAGCAGAAAAAGTTAGATGTGACATTTTCTGAGAACTTTTTATTGTAGAAACATAAAACTGAAAACTCGAATCGGTGAAATAAACGATGCCTTGATATACAAAAATTGAGGTTTCTTTAAGTTCGTGTCCCTAACATGGCTCCATGGCTTAGTTTGGTATTACTTTTCTGATTTTAATGTTTGGTAAAAGTGCTTTTTGAAGAATTTTTCAAGAATATACAGCCAAAATTGGATGCAGTCTAAAGATAACTTTAGCTTTTAGATTGTGCAGGAATCAATATAGTACAATTAATGAAACTTTTATAATACCCATAATACCCCTAATAAAATTTAAAATTTACAATCTTCCCAATCTAAAATTCAGACTCGTAATATAATATAATATAATAGTAATATTGTAACAAATAATATCATAATTTTATTAATAACTCTAATATTATTATTTTATCATATAATATAATATTATAATTATACTATGATATTGTCAATAATATGATATTGTAATTATAATATAATTATAATTAGAGATGTCAAACGTGTCGGGCCGGCACGGCACACTTGACCCCAGGTCCATCACGGGCCTAGGCCGTGCCTGGGCCGGGCTTAAGAAAAAAAACTCATGCCCGGTCCAGGCCTTTGGCTCTAGTCCATAAGGGTCAGGGCCGGGCTTGGGCCCAAGCCCTTCAAGGGCCGGCCCCGGCCCTTGTATTTTTTTTAAATTTAATTATAAAAAATATCATATGCCCCAAAAGATTAACTATAATAATAAATATACATTATATTGTAGTTATATATAAATTATATTATAGTATAATATAATATAATCGTTATTTTTAATTATTTTATTTATTATTTTAATAATATTATTGTATTTTATATTATAATTATATAATATATTATATAATAATAATGTTTTTATTATATTAAATATAATAATAAATATATATTATATTGTAATTATATATATTATATTATTGTAAAATATAATATAATCGTAATTTTTAATTATCAACAATAATTTAATCTCATAATTTATTAAACGTTATTACACTGATTTTAGAATCAACACAGCTACTATAATTATAGTTTATCAAACACTCAATTATTTTTTATAACAGTTGCTTCTTTTTTGAACACAGCTAAAAATAATTTTTATAAAATATACAGCACTACCAAACTAAACAAATATCTAATTACTTTAGATTAATTATAAAAAATTTCCGTGTATTATGCACTTTATAATATTTTATTATATAATTTTTAAAACATAACATCTATTTTTCATAAATATAGAAATCGAAGAGATTTTTTTTTTTTGTTAACATTTAATTATTCAAAAAAAAAAAAAACAGATATTATTAAAGACTAGAGGGCAAAGGAAAGTTTTGTAATTAATCCAATTGCTTTTCGTTCTCTCTCGCTCCATGCTAATTTTCACCGGCCACCGAGCCGAGCGAGGGTCTTTGGAAAATCTTTCTAATTTACTCCGAGACCCCGAATGAAAGAGCCACATCTCAATTGGTCCTCCATTCATTATTGGGAAAGCTCTCCTTTCTTCGCTTCAGCTCAACTCCTCTAGGGTTTTTGTTTTTCCTCCACCATAACTCAAAACTCAAAACTCAATTACCCCAATTCTCTCTCCTCTTCTTTCCGGCTTGTATTGGATATCTGGACTTGATTTTGGGAGTAACGAAGTGAGATCGATCATATGAAATCCACGGGTTTCGTCAGGTTTTTCTCGATTTGTTTCGTTCTCTGCATTGGTCTCAATCTCTGCCATGCCGAGGAGCCCAAGAAAAACAAGTTCCGAGAACGAGAGGCCAGCGACGACGCCCTTGGTTATCCCAACATGTACGCTTTTTATTCCTGATCCTAATTTTCTTCTTCACTTTATGAAAATCGTTAGATTTGATTGTAATTTACTGCAATTTTCGGACGAAAATCTTTCAATTTTTATTTATAAATATATGTATGTATAATGTATGTATTTTCTCATTTTCTGTGTGATCAGTGATGAGGATGCTTTGTTAAATTCAAAGTGCCCTAAAAATTTGGAGCTAAGATGGCAAACGGAAGTTAGTTCCAGTATTTATGCTTCGCCTTTGATCGCTGACATTAACAGGTACAAGCAAATTCATGACTCTCTCTCTCTCTCTCCGATTGTATTCTTTCGCTTTGGTGTTATGCAACACAGGAAATGTCTGATGAATTGCTAAGTTTAAGTATGTTCATTTACGGGTATTATTGATAGCGCCTCAAGGCGATAATTATAAGAGCATCTCCAAGAAAGCTATCTAAATTTTAACTAAATTCTAGCTAGCTAAAATGGTTAGAAAGCTATTTTAATTAACAACTTTTTAGTGAGTCATTCCAACCATACTCTCTATTTTAGCTAAACATAAATTATTATTATTTTTTTTTTATGAGTTTGAAATATTATATCTTTTTTTAACTTTTACTTTATTTCAAAACAAAGAATAAAATAATAAAAAGAATAAATAGCTAGCCACTTCTTGCTAGCTATATTTAGCTAGTGGAAAATGCTTTAGCTAAAATAACTAACCATTTAGTTAATGGTTGGAGTGGAGAAAAGAAAACATGAAATGGCTAGCATGGTTGGAGTTGCTCTAATGGAAATTGAGGAGTTTTCATAGTTGTTTTATTGGCTTGCTTTGCTCTATCTGTGTTTCCATGCTTTGTCTTATAAACTTACGTGGTTGTGATGTTTGTTTTATCACTTTACAGTGATGGGAAGCTTGAAATAGTGGTGCCTTCTTTTGTTCACTACCTGGAAGTTCTGGACGGCTCAGATGGAGACAAAACGCCTGGTATAGATAGTTAACTACCTCTACTTCCTGTGTGAAGCTGAATTTTCACTAATAAATTGTTATTTGTTTATGTTACTAAAGTCGTTACATTTGGCAATTCGTCTGGTTTGTATAACCGAACAGAAGTGCCAAGAAACTACGGTTTTTGGTTTGTGCGTAACATGTTGAAAGTATGAACTCATTTCTGTTGTTGTTCATTCCTCCTTCTCCTGTCCAATTAAGAGAATTAATCTCTCCAGATGCTTGCTCCTATAATAATTAAAATTCTCGTTGAATGATTTATCAGGTTGGCCTGCTTTCCACCAGTCAACTGTGCATTCCAGTCCTCTCCTTTATGATATTGACAAGGATGGCACGAGAGAAATAGCTTTGGCAACCTACAATGGCGAAGTGCTTTTCTTCAGGTACTTATCTTTGAATCATATGATCGGAATTTCAATCGTTCGGATATTGTTTTTCTCTTAGGATAGTTTTTCATCATCCGTAAGCTCAAGTACAGAAGTTTTCTATGTGAAAATTTCTAGGGTGTCGGGCTACATGATGGTAGATAAACTGATAGTCCCTCGTAGGAAAGTTAAAAAGAACTGGTATGTGGGTCTGGATCCAGATCCAGTGGATCGTTCCCACCCGGATGTTCATGATGACCAAATTATCCTGGAGGCTGAGAAGGCAAAATCAGTGCATCGTAAGTGAAATGTACATTCAGAAATACTTGATATTCTTTTTTCTCCTAGTAAGTGCCTCTGCTTGTTTGTCCTCTCATTTTTAAATGTAAGATAATATCTCCAGTACAAACCAGTTGTAAGAATTCCTGCTCTTGTATATTGTGGGAATGTATTTCTTCTAATAGGGACTGATTTTAGATTGAATTTTTAATTACCCTTTGCAGAAACATATGGAAATAACTTAAGTATTCCAATTCCAGCTACTATTTCAACAGGGGATGAAATAAAATCAAATGGAAGTCAAATAGGAATAGACATCAAGCAACCTGCTAGTGCAAATGATTCATCCGTAAACATAAGTTCACCTGCAACTGTTACAAATGGAACAAGCGCTGGGAGACGACTCTTGGAAGATAGCAATTCAGAAGGATCTCAAGAGTCCAAATCAAAAAACAATGCTGACGAGGGTGTTCGTGCTGCGACTGTTGAAAATGAAGGAGGTTTGCAAGAAGAGGCTGATTCATCGTTCGATCTGTTACGTGATAGTGATGAGCTGGCTGATGAGTACAGTTATGACTATGATGATTTTGTTGATGAATCAATGTGGGGAGATGAGGAGTGGAAGGAAGGGGAACATGAAAAACTAGAGGACTATGTGAACATTGACTCGCATATCCTGTCTACTCCTGTGAGTTATGCTCGAATTATTCATTTTGTGTGCATGTGTCTATAAACAGACTTTGGATGGAGGCAAGTAATTGACAGAGTTTCATTTTTATATTTTATTAGGTCATAGCAGACATTGATAAAGATGGAGTTCCTGAAATGATTGTTGCCGTTTCGTACTTCTTTGATCACGAGTAAGCTTCTTTTGATAGTTATATACATATTACTGAATTTAAATTCCAATTACCCCCCCCAAAAAAAAAAAAAACAGTGGTTTTAGGCTCGAGGTTGAAGATTCTTCCCTGCCAATATAGGATATTAATATATGGCGGAAATATAGGAGTAGATAGGTTTAGTTATGGTTTATGCGTTATCAATAAGATTTAAATTCTAGAGTTTAAATTTTGTAGTATAGGATAAGGATTGTTACAGATAGGATTTAGAGTTTATCTAGAAGAAGATTAGATTCTCAATCTCTTCTATATAACTATTGTATTTTTCCAGTTATGCTAAGATTAATAAGAATAAATATTTTCCCCCAAAATCCTACAATATATTCTAATTAGCTTGTCTGAGAGTAATCGGCACTCTTTGAGTTGACAGGTTGATGAGGAACAAGAATAGCTTATGAGGAAGATCATGGACTAAAAATAGACTTAAACATCAGGAAACTAGACTTACTGAAATAGCTTGCCCAAATAGTTTTGGGAAACTTATTCAACCTGTCATAAAATATTTCGAAACTAGACTTGAAACTACTTTCTATTCTTATCATATTGAACTTCCTCATAAGCTATCTTTGTTGGTCATCGCAGGTATTATGGAGACTCAGAAAACTTGAAGGAGTTGGGTAACATTGATATTGGGAAATATATAGCTAGTTCAATCGTTGTTTTTGATCTTGATACAAAACAAGTAAAGTGGACAGCTGAACTAGATTTGAGTACAGACAAGGGAAACTTTCGTGCTTACATATACTCTTCCCCAACTGTCGTTGACCTGGATGGCGATGGGTTCATGGATATTCTAGTCGGGACTTCTTATGGCTTGTTCTATGTCTTGGATCATCACGGTAATCGCTGAAAATTGTGTTAATTTCCTTGTTTTACATAATGTGTCTGTATTATTAGCCTATGTTTTTGTGGTTCTTGTGTAGTTATAAAATCACTTTGCTATTTTATGAGTTGGCATAGATTCTAAGCATTATTAAAGGATATTGAAGAATCACAATTGTACTATTTACTGTTTTCTGTTGTTTTATTTAATTTTAACGGATATAAATATAAAGGAGTTACCCATTTCTTTTTTTCTGTGAAAAAAATATGGTCGATGGCTTGTAAGAAAGAATATACGTTGTCCTTTATTACCTGTGCTTTTAAGTTGCTTTCATGGAGTTATTTGGCTAATTACATCACGTCACAAGAATCACATTAACTTTATATGGTCGTGGAAATTGAGAACTTGAAGTTTTACTTTATTCACCAGATGCAACTTCTTAGAATTTATCTCCAGATTTGTTTGTCTACCAATTTTGATGCTAATTTGTTTTTGGATATTCAGGCAATGTCAGGAGAAACTTTCCTCTTGAAATGGCTGAAATTCAGGGAGGTGTTGTTGCTGCTGATATCAATGATGATGGAAAAATTGAATTAGTGACTACTGATACACATGGAAATGTTGCTGCGTGGACGGTGCACGGGGAAGAAATTTGGGCAAAGCATCTTAAGAGTTTGATTCCACAGGTAACTACCTCAATGTGTTGCTAATGTCAAACTTTGTCAACCTTTTTGTTTTTTTTTTTATAAGAAACTGATATCTTTATTGAAGTCATCAAAAAGTTACAAAGCGAGGATGAATGAGCCATCCATCCAAAAGAAGAAAAAAAGAAAACAAACCAGAGCAATAAACACAAAACCAAAAACTTAAATACAACCAGACAAACTACACCAAAATATCCTCCCAACTTAACAAAATCAAGGAAAGATCGAAATCCTTAAAGGTTGAGTCTGTTGAATCCCACAGGGAAGCCTAAAATTTTGCCTTCCCTGTGGCGTGGGAAATCCTTTGTCAACATAATATTATGCTGGCCATACCAGGTGAGAAATTGGCATAAATATGTGCAGATTTTGTGTGGGAATTATTATTGTTATTAATTTTATGGGGAACGGCAGTTTTATTGATATATATGCACTAAAGATCTGAGGGCAAGTATATCGTTAGATAAGTTTTCAAAACGTCATTTATTACTATTATTTTTTACTCTGAAAGATCTTGATATTGTCTTTTCTAAATCTCAATTTTTACTCTGCAATATAGTTGCAGGCTTGCAGCATCAATTGTTCCATTAGATTTATTTCACATGCTGATTTGAATCAGTATCTAAGCATAGGTATTTTGATTTGGAGTTGTTCTCATTTCAAATTCACGATGTCTTAAATTTGAAACAGCTTCTTAACTTGTTTACTACTAGATCAGATGTAATGAAAACAGAGTAGAAAAATGTATTCTGTTTGTCTTTTGATTGAGTCCCCTTTAGTGGATTGTCTTCCTGCTGTATCTGATTACAGTTGTGCGACTTATTTGTTGCTCTTGCTCTATACACCAAACGTATGTTTCATTCATTCAAGACGCCCACGCTTTATTTATTTTTGAGAGGGGAGGGAGTGGGGTTGGGACTTGGGAATAAGAAAACTCCATTTTAGTGTTGATTAAATCAATGGCAAAGGAAAGAGGACAAGGCATCCCAAAAAGCAAAATAAAAAACAGAATAAATAAAAAGAAATGAAACAAAAAGCTGACCATTGACCCTCAAATACAGTTTTATTTTTTATTTTTCTTAACGAACCACACAAGTAGCTCTCCATCACATCCTTCCAATTCAAAATAACCAAAGATAGGCTTGTAACCTGAGCTTTAGAGTTACAAGCCTTGAATTTCAAATGAATTTACATATCAGAATATCGAGTGAGATTTTTACTTTCTAAATGCGTATTACAAGCCTTGGGATGCACACTTTGATTCTGTTTTAGTTTCTAGATACCTATCAGATAATGGCAAGTGATGGCTAGATGCGTTTATAACTAGACTCTTTTAGTTTAGTAAGAACCTAGAGGTTCTTTGTTACCTCTAAGATTTCTCATGTTACTACTTTTTAAGTTTCTTTGATGAGGAGCATGTCAGGAAATTGAGATGAAAACATTTATGCCTGAATGTCGCCGTAGTAGGTTCTCTTAATTATTCCATGCTTAATGAATCTATAATTGAAATTATATTGCTCAGGGTCCTACTATTGGTGATGTTGATGGAGATGGCCATACAGATGTCGTGGTTCCAACAATTTCTGGGAACATATATGTTCTTAGTGGAAAGGATGGATCATTTGTTCACCCATATCCATATAGAACTCACGGAAGAGTGATGAATAAAGTTCTTCTCGTAGATCTGAAAAAACGTGGCGAGAAAGCCAAGGGACTCACACTTGTTACTGCATCGTTCGATGGTTATTTGTACCTAATAGATGGACCAACATCATGTGCAGATGTTGTTGATATTGGCGAAACTTCGTAAGATTATCCTAGATCCTTTGGTGATGTGGCATAGCACTATTAAATTCTTTTTTTTTCCGTTACTTTCTCTTTTGGTCCAGAAGTTTGCTTATTCATTAATCCTTTCATTACAGATATAGCATGGTCTTGGCGGATAATGTTGATGGTGGAGATGATCTTGATCTAATCGTGACAACCATGAATGGCAACGTTTTTTGCTTCTCAACTCCTGCCCCTCATCATCCCCTAAAGGTGAAATAGGTCAGATGATGTGTGTGTGTACACACCCACACACACACACACACACACACAAAATGTATTCTTCCTCCTAATGTTCTAACTTAGTAATCTTATCAGGCATGGAGATCTCCTAATCAAGGTAGAAATAACTTTGCACATAGGCATAACCGTGAAGGCATATATGTTTCACATTCATCAAGAGCATTCCGCGATGAGGAAGGCAAGAGTTTCTGGGTGGACATTGAGATAGTAGATAACTATAGATACCCATCTGGGACACTAGGACCATATAATGTCACAGTAAGTTGCTACTTCCCTGCTAAATTTCTGTCATAGTTGCAGTAGAGTTCTATCCTTCGGCTATTTGAATCTCATGGAGACAATTTTTATTCCTTGTCAAAATTATGTAGACCACCTTGTTAGTTCCTGGTAATTACCAAGGAGAGAGAAGGATAAAGCAAAACCAGATTATAAACAGTCCTGGAAAACATCGTATCAAGCTTCCAACAGTTGGAGTAAGGACAACGGGTACTGTTTTGGTGGAGATGGTCGACAGGAACGGACTCTATTTTTCAGACGAATTCTCCCTAACATTCCATATGTATTACTATAGACTGTTGAAGTGGCTCCTTGTCCTGCCAATGGTTGGGATGTTTGGTGTGCTCGTGATTCTCCGCCCACAGGAGGCCATGCCTTTGCCATCATTTTCACGAAACACTGACTTGTAATATTAGGTCACCCCATGTCCACTTCTACACAGGTTGCGGAGTTCTTTGAATGTCGTAGAAATCTCCATCTCAACCAATGGCAGAAACATGGCAACAACGTGATGATTATCAAAATAATTTGATCGCAAAACTCTGCTATAGAATTCATTGGGCTAAAGTGTGGTTGGCTTGAGCTGAAATTGAGATTTGGATGATGGATAATCAGGATATGTAACATAGAGAATCTTGAGTTGAACTATATAGAGTTTTTCAAATCACCAAATCTACTTTTTTGGTTCTGTTCATTGGGGAGTTTTCAAGCTGTTATTGTTTAGAGGAAATGGATAATTACTACAGGGAAATTTGTGCATATCTTATTACTACATGGTTGCATTCGTGCAGGTCGTTAAATCTTTAAGTTGCAAACATTTACTTCATGGACGATGATGGTAGACTGGAAAACCCAATCTAGGATCTGCAATATTATGCTGCTTCGAGTGTTTGCTAGTTTCTGCGGCACATATCTGAGTTTAGCTGGCCGTTTGTTCAGACGTAAATCCTCTTTTAGTGGTGCCAATGTCTGAATAGAGTACCAGGAATGTCGAATAGCTACTTCGATTCCAATCTGTCTAGTATTGGCTTCATTTTATTGTTTGGAATTATGAAGTTATCCACTTAGCTGTAGCCTTGGCCAGTATTTGCAGTGCTTAACTTTAATTGTGTTAATTCATGACAATGTGATTCAATACATCATTTGGTCATGTTTCCGTTTAATTTCATTTTGAGAGTGCCTTCCGACTTTTGTCCTTGAATGCTGCAGCAATGCTTGAGCCAGTTTATATTGCAACTTGAGTGAGTGGATGCTCATTTCTAACATCTACGCTAGTACACTTTTTTTAAGGTGGTTTTAGGGGTTAGACACTTTTCTTTAGACGGTTTTAGGGATTGCTGTCCAACCAAACCGAGCTCATCCGTTTTTGAAAACCGGAAACCATCACGGATTGATATAGGGGACGCCTCAGTGAACCACAGCCAACATGCTTCATGAGTTTAGACATTGTTCGCTCCGCAGATTTAAGTTTTTAATTCGAATTGATATGACATTTTCTTAGAGTTTTTAACTGTAACAGAAAAAGTTAGATGTGACATTTTTTAAGAGTTTTTAACTGTAAAAATTTAGAACTGAAAACTTAAATCGGTAAAATAAACGAAACGTTAATTAGTTTGCACCATGTTGTCGGTAATGGTAAGAGGGCTAAAGCTCGGAGAGGCTATAACCTTTGTGTGCGGAAGACAACTATAAATTTTAAATCAAAACATCATTTGGTACCTTATTTTTCCAATTTACATATAAACCTTTCAAATCCCCCATCAAAAATTGACCGCAATAACGGTAGTCAATTTCAGTTACTAACCAACGATCAATAGTATTAAATCTGATTCATTTCACTAATTTAAATTTTCAGTTTTAAATTTTTACAGTTAAAAATTTTCAGAAAATATCATATTTAATTTTTTCTATTATAATTAAAAAAATTTAAAAAATATCAAATCTTAACTCAAATTAAAAATTTAAATTCACAAAATAAATTATAAAAAAATATCACATTTTAACTTAAATTAAAAATTTAAATTTATAAAGTGAACGAGATCTTAATTTGACACCAAACTGCCAGGCTGCCAGCATCAAACCCATCCAGTTTTTTTCGCTTTTGGCAAATTTTTTGTTGAAGCCTTTTGTTCCAAGATTGTAATATTTGAGAGAAGTTGAAAAGTCAAAAGTCGCAATAAAAAAATATTTTTACAGGTAACAAAGTAGCTTCTAGCGTACCCTCTCAAACCACGCGTGTGTGAGCGATTGAAAGGAGGAGCATGATCATGAAACAAATAACACTTGAAGAACAAATCTACAGTTTCATCTTCTGCCCATTTATTTTTTGCCTTATGTTTCCATATCTGTTCAACATCATTAGCTTGTGGTTGATTATATCCAACAATTTAATAGCTGCTTAAAAGCAAAACCTTAGCCAGAGGAATTTAACTTAATGCGTAAAGCAATCTTAATCGAATTCACTAGAAGTGTCAAATTGGCAGTGAACAATACTATGTAAGTATTGGTAACTATGATCTTAGCATTTAGCTTTTCCAACAAAATTTCATATGGACCTGTACAGTTTAACATGATAATTTCTGGTTAGTTCAAAAATCAGTAATTATGATCATCACTAGTATTATTCAGCACAAACAATTATTCAGTATTAACATCCGAACATCAAAGCTAAACATTTAAAATGGAGATCCCCTAATCAATCTGTTGTGCTCCAGAACGTTTTTAGATTCAAGAAAACGCGTTTCAGTACTCGTGATGCAAGAAAGACATGATAGAAAATACACTAAAACTTACTAAAAGGAGAAGCAAAATAGTCTAAAAAACAGATAATTAAAAAGAAAGCTTAGAAATGATTTAGAAAACCTGCAAGACAGGCCTTTTGCCGAGCCTCTTCATCTCTTTGTCCATTTTCCCAGTAAACATGAATCCAAACATCTTTAAATCACATAGAAAAGACCAAAATGGATGTCCAAATGTAGCAGGAA